GAGTTTTCCAGAGCCCAATTATTTCGTCGAGCATGCGCAGTAAGAAATAAGGGCTCTGGGTACGAGATTGCAATTTACCTTGAGAAATTGTCGGAGGTCCTACATCTGTTTAAAAAAAGAAAGAAAAGATACAAGACATTATTATCTTAACAAAATCGTTATCAATTGGTATCTTTAAAGAAAGAAATGCTTATACTTGGCAATGCCCTGCTATAAGTCGTTTGTATCATAAAAGCKTCATAGACTACCACTATGACCAGAATCCCTTGCAAACTTTCTTTAAATAATTCATTAATTTGCTCCGRTTGTCTTTCTATTTATATAACGTGCAAAAAAGTACGCTAAGCATTCTGGTCCAAACAAACGTTATCAGACCTACCTCCACACGAATAAGACCCAAGTTTAGTGTTGGTGAATTTATTGCTCGGACAGACCAGACAGTTAGTTTGTCCTTCGTTTGGTTGATATTGACCTTGGGGGCACAGAGCACAGAATGGTCTCATGCCGTCCTTGGAAAATGTACCACGTGGACACAAAGCTGTCAATYAAAATTTGTACCAATAAATATTTAGCTAGAGTTAATGCCACTTTTAAAGCTAAATAGACCCCTCGTATGTGGAGTTTATATTGGAGTACAAAACRAAAGAATTTCAATCTCATGTGAATTGYAAACCTATTCTTATGTCCTCCAAAACGAGTTCTTTMCTGTGGGCGTAACTTTGCCTATTTCAGACCACGTGTTATTATTTCCTAGAGCAAGATTTTTTTGTTTAATAGTTGTGCATGAGAAGACACATGAATATGGATACAACTCAAACAAAGAGACTTATTCTCAAGACAATGACACGTGGCCTGAAATTGGGAAATATTACGTCAAGTTAAAGAGGTCTATTCCTTGGAGCCAAAAATCCTACTCACCCCTACACACGCGATTCCCTTGAAGAGATGATGTCCCTTGTGGGCACGCCTTACAACTGGTGCTTYCTCTTTGGTCCTGGTACGTTCCTGCGGCACACTGAATACAAGTGTCGTTACCACTCATATCCTTGTAATAGTACCCCAGTGGACATTGTACTGAAAAGATCATCAGTTAGGTTTTTAGTACGTACACTAGGAAGAAACCCCTTCCTAATGTGCTGCTTGAAAAGCTCGATACTTAGTTTCAGTACTTTAAACAGAACTGAATACGCTGTTTAGCAAAAAGGCAGTCCAATTATCAGTGCAAGTTAGCTTTTATTTTTGAAAATATTTAAGGATTTATGAGAAAAACTAGTGATATATATAATAGTCCCTTTCACAGTTCCCAGCGCCATCTTGAAAGGTAGCCGTGCCTTGCATTGAAGCGAGAAGAATGGTGAGCTTGCAATGACAGAGACCTTTTTTTAACACCTTGGACAATTATTCGCATGTCTCTATCATTGCAAGCTCACCGTTCGTCGACGCAAAGGCACGGCTACCTTTCAAGATGGCGCAGGGAACTGTGAAGGGGACTATTGCGATGTTTCGATGAAATTTTGTCATCAGCATTATCAAGTAAAATGAAATAAAAGATTTAAGGATAATGGATATACTAGGTATCCTAATTCCTTCTATCTAAATCGGGCCCATTTATAGATATATACTTACAGCAAAGCCCAGCTTGGTGTAGCGCGGGTGATCTCCCAAATCCTTCAGAGCATTTTGTAGTTTTATTAGCAGCAATAAAAGCTTGAAGAGAAAAAAAGGAAATTGCTAACTGAATCTGTTCATGTACGCTRAGATAAGCATGCTAGGTTTTAATATAACAATACTTCACATCTCTTAACTAGCTAATTCAACCTGCTTTACGCTTGCAACACAAGCATAGGTATCAGCTATAATGCTTTCAGACTCTATTGATCAAGTCTGCATATATAGCTATTTCTT